ACAAAAGGTTAATCACAAAACTCAAACACCCTCCTCACATTTCCTTCTGTTAACAATTTGCACCATGGACGGGTGACGTTTGTAATTTCAAGAAAAGTTTGGGATTTTTCCTGTAAGTAAGACAAACTGCAGGGGTTATTTGGTAATTTAAATAAAAAACGCGAAGTTCGGATGACAAATATTTTTTCTTTTTGCCATAGAAAAGGTCAATCACAAAACTCAAACACCCCCTCACATTTCCCTTTGTTTACAATTTGCACCCTGGACTGGGGATATTTGTAATTGTTTAAAAAAGAAAAAAACTGGGGCTCTTTCTGTAATTAAGATAAACCTCAGGACTTTTTTGACATTTTGAATAAACAATACTTGCAAAAAGAAAAAAAAAAGGAAAACAAACCTGCTAACTTGGGCACAGAGCTCCAGCAGCCAACACCAAACCTTGTAATGTAATTGTAAAGCTTCTCATCTTCTTCTGGTGACCATAACCCTTTTCTCATCTTCTGCTTCAGACAGCAAGAGTTTCGACCCATTCCACTATTTTATTACACGATCGATCGATCGACACTAATTATTTCAAAACAACAAACTTAATAGTGACCCAAATTATGTTTCTTAAACAAAACAATAAAAATAATAATAATAATGATATTGCTAAAGTGTTAACAACACATTTTGCTCAAGAGCCCACAAAACATGTTTAACAGAACATGTGATGAGAGACAAAAAGAAATATAAAAATAATCTCTCTAATGATCTTCCAAGGGGCTAATTTAACTGAAAATTCATACTTAGAGTTCAAGTGATGTTGAGAGGGATATAGAAAAAGATTCTAGAGAGAGAAAGGAGAGAAAGAAAGAGAGAGATAGAGAGAGGTGAAGCAATCAAGTGGCTTCTAAGCAAATTCTGGTGCTGCTTTTTGCATTGGACTGAATTAGATTTTAAGACATCTCTATAAAAAGGAAATGATTAGTGAAAGGAGAGCATACAAAAATAAATACATCTATTTCTCTAGTGTGAATCAGCCTAACCATTAGTCTGATCGACCAGTTATATATTTTTTAAGAATATTGCATACTTTTCCTATAAAAATGTTCAACCTTTATATTGTTTTTAACATATGATATTTCAGTTTGAAAGTATGCCTATATATTTGTTAAAAGAAGGCGAGTGTCTAACCGTTAGTTTTGTCTAACTCTATCTCTATGTACTGCTGGTTTGCTATACCGTACGAGATAAAACACAACGGAATTAAACAAAATAAAGCAAGTATTTATCGAAGAAATACTAAACTCCTCGGTTCACATAGCGATTGTAACTATCGACATACTTTTAAATCACGTAATAGTATGAATATTTTTAAGAAAAATAAATATTTATGCTTCAAACGTCATACATTTGTTTATGTTATTTCTTGTAGTATGACATTTTAGTTTGAAATTATGCATATTTATTAAAAATATCTTACTTTGAAAATATGCATATTTATTAAAAATATCTGTTTAACCTTAATAACGGCAAATAAATAATAATCAATTACATGTAATTATGTCTCTACTTGTGCATGACAAATTGACAATATACTTGTTGTATAATGTTGCTGTACTATAATGTCAATTCTTTCTCACAACGTAATAACGAGATTTTTTAATTTGGCGGGTAATGGTACATGCGTCATTTTCTGTCTAAAGTTAATTTGGATTGCAAGTATTGTTACATGCAAATTTCGTTTTGTATTAAAATAGTATCAATTACAGTAGTCAAAGTGAATAAAAGAAGTAACCATACATGTCACGTGTACCTAAAGTTACTTCTGTATTATTGACATTTACCACATAGTGGGAAAAAGTTTAATTTAACATAAATGAGTGATACAATGGCTGACAAAAAAACCCATTAATTTAATAAATCAACTTCCCAATAATATTAAATTAAATCATGAAAAGTGAAATAAAATTTATTACTTTCTTCTTGGCCTAATTCTTGTATGGTTTGGGGTGCGTGAATGCTCATCCATAAAGTCTGTTCAAAAGTAATGCACCTTTTTAGGACCAGGGTCAATTTGACGTACCAAAATTAAATTTTGCCTAAAATCATATGTTATTATTTTTTTTTTTAAGATTCTCAAAATGACCCGAATACAAGATAAGAAGATAATTGTATTGTGTCAAAATTTATTTCAATGCCTATAACTATAATATGGTCCTTCAGAGTAGTGTAGTCCACTCCCNAAAACTGTATTGATAAAACCAATTTAATTTAAATGGTTAAGTTATTTCTAGCCAAACTTATATACTTATTTTAAACAGTAAAAATAATTAAGAATTGTATATCATGGGATAAGTTTATATGTGTGGTGTTTGCTGAAACAATAAAAAGTGTTAATATAAGACACTTTTGTTTCAGTAAATCATATTATTAAATAGAATGAAATATGTGCCATAGTTTGACATTGTTTTAGAAAAGTGTAATATATTCGTTGTAATCTTTTCATATATGAATTTATGGTACTCTAATTTAAAGTTTCTAACTTATAATAAAGTGATTATGAATTCCTTAAAGAAAGCAAAAGGCACATAGTTAAACTATGACATGTAATTATCGGTGTAAGTACTTAAACCAACTTATTTTTTTAACAAGGATGTTCAAAAAATAATTATTTTTGTACATACATTTTTTGAGGAAAGTGAAAATATTTATATTACAAATCAAGTTGAGTTGGGCCAAACAACCAATCATCTGATCAAAGACATGAAAACTTTTTTTCAAACCATATAATTATTAGTGAAGTTTTATGTAATAATGCTTATGATGCAATTTGGGCAAAACAGTAATTGTACTGTTAATGGCTAATCCTATTAATTAATAATATGATGTGTGACTTGATGTTGAAACAAAATCTCCCTTTTCACTTTTTCTTTATTTTTTTATTATATTTTATTGGATTAACGACATGCATAAATGATGATTTTATATGTATATTGTTCATTTAATAAAATACAAAATTAAATGTAAAAGTGGATTGAAGAAATGTTTTTTGTTCCATTTTAAGGTTTGGGTCCTATGGTTGGAGACTTTTAATTATGCAAAATTGCAAATCCACTCACCATATATAACTTAAGTAGAATTTAATTAAACTAAAATCATGATTAAATCACTAAATATTATCAATTTTTTTTCGTCAAGTATAATTTAATTAAACTAAAATCAATGATTAAATCGTTGTAAATATTATCAATATTTCTTTTCGTGTGAAAATAACAAAAGATCAGCTATTACAAAATATCTACAAAAGTTTGTATTTTTTTTTTATAAAAAACTTGTTAGATTACCAAAAAATCTTCAATATAATTATCATAGTACAACAATTTGTTCCATTAAATATTTTTTGTCGGTAAATAATTATAAAATAAACACATAACTAATTGTTTAAACGAGTCAAGTTAGAACTTTTGATACTCAAGTTCTGACTTGAACATTTATCGAATAGCCGAATTCGACTCGGTAAGTAAATAAAACAATAAAAAAGCTTGAACTCGATTCGTTTATCAATATTAACGAGTTAAAGCTCGAGTCTGGCCGAGCTACGCTCATTGAACTCAGGCCAATTTGCATATCTAACAAGCTGAGTCAAGTCGAGAGACTCGTTTCATTTATTACACTCCATAAATTGCCATGACGAATCCATGGATTAGAGTGGCCCAGCCCACTCGATGGTAGGGCCAAGTTGAATTCACGTCCAGCAGGCTTGGAAAATTGGGCCATTTGGACTGGTCCACATGATTAGATTAGTTGGGCTTAAGCTAGATTTTTTTTTCTCAATTAACCGTGATTAGTACAATATCCGTGTAAATACATGGGTGTTGAATTAGAAAACATATGTAAGAAATATTATTTTCTTAAAGTAAAATAATTTAATTTTATATGAACCATTACTTTGGGTTTTAATTAGATTGTGAAATTATATTTTTTTAATCATAATAATTAAACACCTGTATATTTAATGTCAACTCATATTGAATCTTTTTTACTTATATCATATAAAATTATCGATATTATTTACTACTAGTTTTTGTCCCGTGCATTTGCACGGAAAACTATATGATACAGGAAAAAATAATAAAAATTATAAACAATAGTAAAAATCATAACAAAATCATTGAAAAAAAAATTAAGAAAAAAAATATAAATATTCTTAAACACTTCTTTATAAAACAACATCGTAGTTTTTCTATCGTCAGAATCTCCATCAGCACAAATCAAAATCTTCAAACCCCACTGACTCGTAACTCTAAAAAGCGCCACGTATAATTGCTCATGACTAAATGCAGAGCTCTTCAGTAGTAAGCCGACGTGCGACAGAGACTATCTTTGACTCTTATTGATCATGTCATAGTATAGGAAACACTTCTTTATTGTTTGTCCTTGACTCTTTGTCCTTGCTTCCTAATAAAAAAAATATCATCTAAATATAAATGAGTAAATATAATATTAATTTTTTATATAAACAAAAAATTTAAAGTAATTGATAATGAGTATAGAATTACCCTTGCGGATATTGTTAACCAACGTTCTCAGGGGCGCATTTTCATGGTTGTCCATTGTAAAACAAATCAAATGTACTTAACTGCTCGAAGAAGCATTTATGATGTGACTTATGGAACTATTCTGAGACGGACCTTGAGAATTTGCGAATGGAATACCTAAAATAAAAAATTAATTCATAATCACCAAAGTATATATAATAACAACAACCTTTCTTATAATGAGATAAACATTTAATAATGATACAAAAAGTACAACAATAAACAAAGTATATACCATATTCTTGGATAATATAATGCGAATTTTAAATGACAACCGATCTTTAGAAGGAAGGTGTTGCAATACGCATATCAGATAGCGTACTCACAATAATTAAATTGATAGAGTTAAATAATAAGCTGCAATGTATTTTTTAAAGTTTTAGACACAACATATAAATTATTTATATTATAAGATTTATTATATAAAATATTGTGGCAATAATAAAATGAAGCAATCATATTTTCATGAAAGCTTGTAATATAAAAATCAATATTGTATGTTTTAAAATCATTTATGTAATGGTTTTAATTTGAGGTCAATTTTGTTTTACAAATTAATTTTTTTGTACTATATATTGTATCAATCTATTTTGGGTCATGTATTTATAAAATATGAGCCCAAATTTTGAAAGAGAATAACAATTGGGCTATTTTTAGAAATTAGGTTTTATTTTACATTAGGTCATTCCTAAAAATTCAGCTTGGGCCAGTATTTTAACAATGGGGTACTATGTAACATATGGCTGCTGAAATCAAACAACCCAATAGGAAGAATGGAGCAGCAATACCACTTTGAATAAGGGCAAAAAAATCATTTCTTACTTCATGGAAAGTCAAGAATCGACACATGTCTAGCCAGCTGGCTTATTTTTTTCGAGACAAAAGAGAGATGACAAAGTGAAATCGTCCCGATTATAAAGAGCCGATTTAGATTTAGTGATTTACTGATATATTGTATTTCGGTTAAAATCGGGCGATTACATATAAATCTTTGAAGATCTACAACATTTTTCTCTGGAATTTTTTTTTTGTTTTGCTTTTTGAACAATTTTTCGATTAATATCGTTATGACATAATAGATATGTAAAGATCTGTATTTTTAAAAAAAAAAACTCTTATCATGAGCTTTCCATTAGGGTTAGCTTCCGACGGACTGGAACTGCCCACATCGTGATTTTAGGAGGCCGATTAAGGTCCTTTTGTTATATTTAATCACAGTCAGAAATTTTTTTATGTATGTTTAAATTTTTTTTTCGTGGATTCAAATTATTTCAACGATGTTCTTTTTACATATCTAAGATTTAATTTTTTTTTCTGATTTATATGAATATAAGCACATTTAACTAATTTATATAAAATTTATTGAAAAACGTTACTATTTTTTCGAAAAACTGATAAGATATTACGATAATACTATATTTAATATAAATTTAGGATTAATTAAAAGAAACTTTTTTAATTTAGTCATTAACTAATTAGGTTTAACTAAAAAATCTTCTTAAATGTGGGATTAGTGAGTAATTATTAAAAAAAATGTAACTCCTTTTGAAGGGAAAGTGAAAATGTTTTTATTAAATGTTTTATTAAATGGGATTAGCTAGTAATTATATATATATAGATTATTAAGTAAAAAATATATATCTTAAATAAATAGAAATAATATGGTGATGTGCATATGCATAAGAATATAATTTATAATATAATTAATTGTTTTCTTTGATATCTTTTAATTTAGTTTGATAAATAAACTTAAATTTTATTTATAAAAATATATATTACTATTTTTTATTTTATATATATAATATTGATGTCAAATTAAAAATCGTTAAAAGATACTCAATATGATATATCATATATAAAAAATAAAATATACAAAAAAAGTTATAAAATCTTAAAATAAGAAAAAGAAATATTTATAATAACTAAAAAACACAATTAATATTAAAAAGAATTTTTAAAATACAACGTGTATTATATATAGGCAAAAAATATTAATACCCGTAGGCTAGATATTAAAAATTAATATCTAGCACAAATAGGATTATTACTATATTAATATCTAGCCTAGATATAAAAAGCTGTGAACTTAAAAAGTTATAAAATATTAATTTATATTCAAGCCTAATTCCAAAGCATGATTTTTTGCCAAATAAGATTATGAGAGTTTGTCACGTAGATTCAATCCATTTTGAAATTATATATAGAGGGGATTACTGATTAGTTTGTACTTAATCAACAAGAGGTCTAATTATCTCAGATTAGACAAAGTTTTATTTTATTTTTTCCTTTTTGCTTCTTGCATCACGTAACATTTTTACATGTAATATAATTCAATGGAACTTATTAAAAATAATTGCGAGGGGACCAATGGCATCTTAAAAATAATACATTAATTAGGAAGGATTTATTAGTATGATGAGCCCATATGGAGTTAATTGAAGCAATAATGTGACAAGATATATCAATCCAACAACTGAACAAATTGAGGAAGAAAAAAATAAAAGAAAGGAAAAGACATCATGATATATATATCAAAATTCATCGAGTGCATGAATATTGAATAGGAAATTAGGTGTTGTGAAAATTAAACTATTAGTTTACAGATTGGATCATCGAAAAATACATTTTGTAAGTATCAATTAACTTTGGCATTATAATATTTTAAATATTAGCTATTTAAAATTTCCCAATACATAATTTCAAAAATCAAGCTGTAAATTTTCTGTTAAAGTGCTTTGATAATTTGATTAACTTTGTGATGGTGGTGCCATTATGAAAACATATTTGCACTTTTATATTTTCAGTTAGAGATAATGCAAAGTGCTTTATTAATTTGATAACAAGCCCCTTTGATTAATTACACGGAGGGCCATGTGAAAGAGCAGGTGATTTGACCAAGGATAATAATAAAGATAAAATTATTAAAAGGTGTCATGAAGAATTTTAGTCCAAAATCACGATTATCTCATCATCATCACTTGAAAAAGAAGCAATAATTTTGATAATTGTGATTTTAGACAAAAGAGATTCATTTACTTTTTTTAAGATTTGTTATTGATCAAATATTCACCAAGTAAATATGATTTGTGTATTTAGGAATTTCTATTGACCCTTTCAGAAAACAGTTATGAAAATTTTATACAATTTAAAGATTAGGATTTGTCTACAGTCCCCTCACGGAAAGGTTCCTTGAGAGATTTTAGCTATCAGATACAATTATTGTCTACAGTTCTAATAATAATAAATATTTAAATTTATAATTGTTATATAGAAAATAATTATCAATTCCTTTTGTTGTAAAATAAATATATATTAATTCAAGAAAAATAAATTATAACTGATATATTCGTGAGGTAGGTTTAAAAGTTGAAACAGTATCAACCTCAAAAATTCATTTTATTGGAGTTCCAGTTTAGATCCAGTTGCTTATTGGACCTGCATCTTATTTGCCAAACTATTTGGGCCTACTTGTCGGTTATAGGAGAGAGGCCATGAAGTTCAGCCCAGTAATATTTGGTGTACAGGCAAAGGTAAGGAATACTAATGAAAACAACCAATTTCACAATATGAAGCATGTCTATTGAATCCACTTCAAGTATGTTAGATTACACAGTAAAACAGTCGAGCCAAACTCAAAATCAATCTATAAACGAGTTCGAGCTAAGGTCAATTATCAATATTAATAACTTGAATTGATTCTTAACGAACCGAACTAACCTAAAATTAAAAAATAAGATAAAAATTCAAATTATTGAGCCTAACGAGCTTTAAACATGCTCAAACTAGGTTCATTTAATTCGAACTCGAGTCAAGAAAGCTTACAAGCAGCTCGTTTTATTTACTATATCTAATATCTTTGAATTATTATACTCTTGAAGGTACACCATTTTACAATTATATTGCGTGGTTCATTAATGGGGAGTCTGCTTTAAGAAGAAATATTTTTGTACCTATTATTGTTTTATTTTTCATAAATAGAAAACCTAGAAATTCTCAAAATTATTTTATGTTGAATGAGAAATGAATTTTAAGTTTTACACTTAGGGAAAATATGAGTTTGAAAGCTCAAAACTGAGTTTAATTAGCTGAAATATAGATGAAATCCATTGCGATTGATCTTTGATGAAAGCTCGTGCACTAGGCATGCTTAGACATTGCACAGTTCACGCACCAAATTTACATAGCCATGTTAAAATTATTTCTATAACCATGTAGGTTTCATCTCATAAATGTATCCTAATGTTGATTTTATTTTAATACATTTGAATAGTTATTAAAATTGAAAACACGTGATTAATAAGAATGGATGAAATTAGAAACTTTTATGCCCTTTAATTAAGGTTGGAAACAAGTCGAGTGGAGTCGAGTATGGACTTTGTCGGGCGTAGATCGAACTTTCTTCTTCACCATTCGAGCTCGAGCTTGAGCTCGATGAGCCATGTAAAACGGTGCTCTACTCGACTTGTGAAAAACATAAGAATGCTCGAGCTCGACTCGATACTCGATATGACTCTAGTTCGAATCGAAATTTTAATAATTAAATTTTAAATATAAATGTACTATTTTTAATCTAAACTAGTGTGTACCCCGTGCGATGCACGGAAACAATATTAAATTAACAATGTTATAAATAGACCTCGAGTTTGAGTCACTCAATGGCGGAAGTGGAAACTACTATTGATCCTATTTAAAAAGAGGAAGAAAAAATAATAATATAAATTAAAGAGGAGGATAAACAATACTTAATAATTATAAATTAAAGATTCGGGGTCAAACAATGTAACATTATTATGTAGAAGAGAATATAAAAAAAAATGATTACACACCATTTCAAAATTATTATTATACTTTTTTGTATGGTTAGCTTATAATATTTGTAAAAATATTAGTAATTAGACCGATGAAAATTAGCTTCTTAAAGTAGATAATGGATTTCTAGTAGTAATTATGAATTGATTTCTATTTTATTTTATTTTTTCTTTTTAAAGATAATGGATTTCTAGTAGTAATTATGAATTGGTTTCTATTTTATTTTATTTTTTCAAATATGTATAGATAAGAGATGAGATTTTTTAAACACGTGAAACGTATACAATGAGATTTTGTAACAGAAGAGATAAGCTCGTGTAGATTTATACTAAAAATATGAAAAAAAAACAAATATTTATTGTAAAACAACGGTTTTGATAAACTAAAAAATGGAAAAAAGAGAAATAAATCTTTACACAATTAATGAGCCAATTTATTTGCCTATTCAGATTTGTCCAACAATTACTATATATAGGATATATTTAATGATTTTGGCGGGAAAAAGTTACCAAATTTGTAAAAAGGTTAATCTTTTTATATAATGATAGATTGACAATTTTGACCTTGGTGTTATAATATTAATAACTAAACAATACAGGGTATTTATGTAAACTAGTATGCGGCCTGTGCATTTGCACAGATATAAATAAATTATTGTGAGTCTGTATGCATATAATGATTAATTATTTTTCTTTCACTTTTTTGCAGACCAAATTTACTTAAAAGAGTTGGAATATTTTTTTTAAAATTACGTTTATCTAATTGGATGTAATGTTTATTTTGGTACGTCTTTTATTTGTGAATTATTTATTATTTATTTAGAAATTTCAAATATATTTTTTATTTTCAAAAAAAATAAATAAATGTAACAACAATAATAATATCTAATCACATTATACGGTCAACACATTATATGGTCAACTGTCATTAATCAAAAGTTTAAAATAATTTTTGTAATTTTAAAGTGATGAGTATTAATTATTTAATGATTAAATGAAAGATTAAATACATCAAAATGTAACGGTTTTTGGAGGAAAAATTGTTAAATTGCCACATAGGTAAAATTAAATAGGTTTTATTAAATGTTTTGAGCTAGTAATTATATATATATAGATAAAATATTGAGCGGCTCATCGAACTTACTAGCCTCTTAAAAAATGTTTGAGGCTCAATTCATTTATTCGGTTGAACTGCTCGAACTCGACTTGAACTCGATCATATTGACTCGAACGACTTGTGAGTCGGTCGACTCATTTGGAGCCCTACTTTTAATAAGCCCATATATTTAAGAAAATCGCACAAAGTATATTGAAACACCACATAAACCCCATCGTTTTATACTATTTCTATTTAGATCCCTTTCATTTGATTACTTTGCCTCCTTTGTTTTCATACTCAGCCGCGGAAGAGACGGCCATGGACTTCGGCGGCGGCGCCTCCCTCCCCTCCTCCTGCCCCGACGCGCGGAAGCGGCGCGTGTCCTACTTCTACGAGCCAACCGTCGGAGACTTCTACTACGGCCAGGGCCACCCGATGAAGCCTCACCGTATCCGTATGGCGCACAATCTGGTCGTCAGCTACTCCCTCCACCGGCGCATGGACATATGCCGCCCGTTCCCCGCCGATCCCGAGGACATACGCCTCTTCCACTCGCCGGACTACGTCGACTTCCTCGCGTCCGTAACCCCCGAGACGCTCAACGACGAGCCGCACGCGCGCCACCTGAAGCGGTTCAATGTCGGCGCGGATTGCCCTGTTTTCGACGGGCTATTCGGTTTCTGCCAGGCCTCCGCCGGCGGATCCATCGGCGCCGCCGTCAAGCTCAACAGGCAGGACGCCGATATTGCCATCAATTGGGCCGGGGGTTTGCATCACGCGAAGAAGGGGGAGGCCTCTGGGTTTTGCTATGTTAACGACATCGTGCTGGGGATTCTCGAGCTGCTGAAGGTTCACAGGGTAATGATGTTACCTCATGCATTTAAATTTAGCAATATATACGAAATCAGTTGATTTTGTTGGGGAGTTTCGCATTCACGCTGTTGTAGATCTTTTACTCAGAGTAATTTCATCATTCATTTGATATTTGGAATCGAATCCCTAATTAACAGCTTGAAGTTGCATCCAGAATGAACCTAGATATTGTGTATGTTCATGTTTTGAGTGCCATGATATTTACCTTAGTGATATCATAATAAACTCATCATGCTGGACAATCTTTATCTCAGAAGCTGCCATGATTTTTATGTGTGGAAATTGCTCATTTCTCGCACGATTTTTTACTTGCATTTTGGCAGCGTGTACTCTACATAGACATTGATGTTCACCATGGGGATGGTGTTGAGGAAGCCTTCTATACTACAAACCGAGTAATGACAGTCTCTTTCCATAAATTTGGTGATTTTTTCCCTGGTACTGGACACATCAAGGACATTGGGGTTGCTCAGGGGAAATACTATTCGCTTAATGTCCCGTTGAGTGATGGGTTGAGTGATAGCAATTTCAGGGGCTTATTTCGTCCCATCATCCAGAAAGTCATGGAGGTTTACCAACCGGAGGCCGTTGTGCTTCAGTGTGGGGCGGACTCGTTGGCTGGTGATCGGCTGGGTTGCTTTAATCTGTCTGTGAAAGGCCATGCGGAATGCCTCAGATTCCTGAGGTCGTTTAATGTGCCTCTTATGGTTTTAGGTGGAGGAGGGTACACACTCAGGAATGTTGCCCGGTGCTGGTGTTATGAGGTCTGTCCCGTGCGTTCATTTGTGGTGTTTGTTTGTGTTTTCGAGTGTGAGTTCTTTTAATTTAAATATATGATGCAGTTCTTTGATTTAACTGAAAAAATTACCCCTCTAAGTTTAGCCTAAATGTAGAAAAACTGTGTTGTGTTTCGAATTTACAGGTATCCTCTTACTATTTCTTCATTTTTGTACGAATTGCGCTCTCGAGGGGGGTGCTGCTGTATTGTTTTAAGTGAAGACAAAGATTAAAGGGTGTTTGTGATTTAGTAAGGGGAGTATGGATAAATCTGTAAGATAANGTGAACCTAATTTTTTTTTTGGTAATTGTCCTTTCTTTATTGTTTTTGGATTAGAGGATCATTCAAATGAACCGAAATTTTATGAGGTTATATTTTTTTACCCAAATTTGGTGTTCGGTTGTGGTAGACTGCTGTTGCAGTTGATGTGGAGCCGGATAACAAGTTGCCCTACACCGAGTATTTTGAATATTTTGGCCCAGACTATACTATGCACATTGAACCTAGTAATATGCCGAATCTGAATAAGAAGAAAGATCTGGACAACATCAGGTGAAAGGGTTTTTCCTGGGAACTCGATTGCACATTAGCTGCACTGCCTCTAATATATTTGAAATCTTCTTCACAAGTAAGTTGTAATTTCAGAAATATGCTGCTCGATCAACTCTCTAAGATTCAACACGTCCCGAGTGTACAGTTCCAGGTGGCACCTCCAGTGACAGAAGTTCCGGAGGAGGTAATTTCTTTCTGGCAAAAAACTCTTCAATTTGTCAATCTATATGTAATTTTCATGCATAGGTCCTAATCAAAATCTTTATTTTCAGATAGAGGATAATATGGAATGGAGGGCCAAACCACAGATGTGGAATGGTGAGATGGACGATGAGTCTGAATCTGAGGTAAGATTCGAGGCTGCCAATGTATAAGATCAGCATTGATTGATTTAATCTCATCATATCAAGAGCCTATGAGAAATTTTCAATGCATCAAAAAATGGTTGGGAACTTTGTAGGCACATGTGATTGTGAACTTGTTTTTTAATCTCAAGTGCTATTTATGATATATACTTATTGGGCTATCTATGGTTTCATTTATACACATCACTGCTATTGTTGATTTAAAAAAAAAAAAAAAATTGTATTAAAGACAAGGTGTGCAGCATTTGTGAATTTCGCCTCAGGTTTTAGAATCTCGAGTCCGTCAATGTGTTAGAGTCAGCAGTTTGTGTTGCTGGTGCTTGTCCTAACTCTTAGAAATTCCTTCGAGAACTTTTTCGTGAAATGTAATGTTTTTTTTCCTTTGAAGCTCGCTAGAACCATCAGTCTACTTTCTTGCTGAAGCTTTTTGTTTCCTGGTGATAGTAATCATATTTTATCTAAAATGTGTTATTGCATTATTGACGATATATGTGATTACTTGAATATATTTTGTTTCTAACTAGAAGTGTACGTATTTTTAGCTATATTTTTAATTAACCGATCGTTGATTGTGCATGTGAAAAATTTCCTTTTTACATTTCTAACTACTTTATTATATGGCTCAGTGTATAGATTGATCTCTGTTGAAGAGGATAGCTTGAGAGATGCAACTTGCAATCATCACAAACCGGATTTCTCCTGTGGAACGGCTTTCTTGACTAATGCGTGCTGTTAAATACTTGTTCTTCACCATTTATGTAAAAATATCCTGTTAACTGAATCATTTACAAATTAGTGATGAGGGCCTCAAACAGCTTGTAAACAAGTTAAAAAAACTGCTATGGTGGCAACATCGAAACATTGAATGATAGTTGTGCAAGTTAGGCGCTATGTTTCTCTGTTTTGCTAATTTTTGTGCTGTAAAGGCGCAAGTTTGGGTAAGTGCGTTTGTTGAGTTAATTAATAACGCGCTTTATCTGCACCGAGATTATAAGATGATAATTGGTCAATAATGTTTTTCTCATAGTTAAATCAATGGAGGCCTTGTTTAGCTTCCATCACTCCAACTTCATCTCTTATATTTATCTTCTTAGCCATCATTCCAACTTTTCATCTCTTATATTCATCTTCTTCAAATCATGTTATGTATATTATCTGCGGATCTGAATAGTATTGATGTGGAACATTATTAGCGCCTCATACCAATTTATTCAAACTTAAATCGGTGGTTTCCATTAGATGGGCACCCACACTTTTTCAGTCACATTGACACTCTCTGCTTTTGCGACCAACATCTCAATGTCGGCGCCGACCACACCAAGCTTCTTTCGTGCAGATCTCATCACGACAACACAGCAACACCCACCTGGAGGGCCAAATTCGTACAAAATATAAATTGGTTGGATGAAGAAGATTGTGATTAAAGACTCTTAGATCTGAAACCTCCAAAATATTCATTTGGTCCGGCTAAGTAGAAGAAAACAACCAAAGGCTTTTTTTTTTTATCTGAAACTTCCGAAAACACTCATTCGGCTAAGCAGTTTCAGGGATTGTCAACACCAACACGTACATCATTCTCTTTTAATTTAGTTTCAGGGATTGTCAACACCAACATGTACATCATTCTCTTTTAATTTACACATAATTATTAATTATATAAAGATGCTATTTACATATTGTGAAATTTCGTAAATCACAAATTCTTCTGTGAGACTGCCTAACCGTCAGTTGGTTCAACTCGTCATACTATTTGATAAAAAATATATACTATAGAGCTATACTATTAAATGTCATACTTCTATTTACGTGGTTTTCTAAAATATGATAGTTTTTAGTGAAAATATATGCACATGTAATTGTTGGACCAACCTAATATTAGACTAACCGTTGATAAACTACTTTTTTTTTTCAAATTATTATGCTAGTGGGAAGCAAAATATCAAACCTTAGGAACTTAACAAATGTAACAAATTTTAGTCCAAAGATTATGAAACAATAATATTGTAAAAAAAATCCTTAATTAATAAAAAGGACGAAATAAAAATATTGAAATAAATGATTATAGTAGTGACCCTTCACCGAAAATTAGGCAGCAAATCGAAAATGAGAATCTCGACCATGCGATTAACAGTATCAGCAGAAATCCGTCCTCCCCAATTGCACCTCCAATTCCCCCTTCTTCCACCCATTCTCCCCACCGCCGCCGCCGCCGCCGCCGCTACCGCCTTCCGCCAGCTTCCCCTCAAACTCCGCCACCGTCACCGCTCACCCCCACTCAAATCCCACCATCCCCAGCTCCCAAATCCCGAAACCACCACCACCACCTCAGCAGCCGCCGCCTCCTCCGACGACAGTGGAATCCCAATCGAACACGTCACAACCCTAGCCAAATTCAAATCGCGGCACAACTACATCCGCGTCCTCCAGGTCTCCCGCGCCGCCGACCACCCCCTCGCCGGCTCCCGCCTCCTCCTCCTCGACGCCCCCGGCAATATCCACAGCATCTCCTACATCTTCAAAACCCTAACCGACTCCTACTTCGACGTCTTCGCCACCCTTCCCCCAATCCTCCCGCCCGGACCCATCGCGATCCTCGGGTTCGGAGCCGGATCGGCCGCCAGAATCATCCTCGACCTCTACCCGGAGGCCACCGTCCACGGCTGGGAGCTCGATCCTGCCGTTGTCTCCGTCGCCAGGGAGTATTTCGGCCTCGAGAAGCTCGAGAAGAAGCACGGCGGCCGGCTCTTCATCCGCACGGGGAACGCCCTGAACGCCAACTCGAAGAGCGGCTTCGCCGGAATCATAGTCGATTTGTTCCGGAAGGGGAGGGTGATACCGGAGCTCCAGGACCCGGCGACTTGGGAGGGGCTGAAGAGAAGCCTGAGAAGAGGCGGGAGGATGATGGTGAACGTCGGCGGGAGCTGCGTGGAGCCGGAGGATGTAAGGAGCGACGGGGGTTTGATAATGGCGGAGACCTTGAAGGCGATGGATAAGGTTTTTCCCGGGAAGGTTCGCGTGCTGAGTACTGTTGATGGTCGGGAGGACGATAGCTCGGTTGCAATGACGGGTGCGCCGCCGGACGCCGCCGCATGGAAGGAGGCGCTGAGGCAGCCGTTGAGGTTATACGTCGATATGTGGAGGCCTTATTGTGCGGGTGGTGGTGTGAAGAGTCACGCCGCCGATTAAAGCCAGCTTTTCTTCTCGGCTATTTGATGTATTTGCCTCTTTGGATTTGGTCATTTCTGTTTGCAGGGGACGTGTTTGATGAAATGTTTCAAAGACGGGGTTTTAGATAAATTACTCGGTTATTTGTTTTTCAAATTTTCCAAAAAAATACAAAAATAAAAATAACTTAATGTCATCAGCTATTGAATGTGTTTATTGACTTATAAGTTATATAAGTTGTATGTAAGATAAACTAACAAATTTTTTATGTGAGAAATTAATTATAAACAACACATATTTTTATCTATATTAATTTGATACTATCAAAGTAAATCTTTTTTACTTATATTATTTATAAAGTATAATGTTTGTAGTAAAATGATGCATATTTATAAAAATAGTATATCGACGTAGCGTGCTCTCACGGTAATTCTTAATACTTAACTTAAATTGATAGCCAAAAATTAATATTTTAAGATGATATTTGAAATCAGTGCTGTAATCGAATCAAACGAGCTGAACTTTGGCTCTTCGAGCTTGTGTTTGTCTATTTTTCGAGAAAAAAATTGTGTCGAGTTCGTTTATTTAATTATTCGTCAAAGTTCGAGTTCGTACGTTTTCGAATAATTTAAGACATAAACTTTTTAAATATATTTGATTAACTCGAAATTTGTTCGTTCGAACTCGAAAATAAAAATATTTTTATATTTTAGATTTTTATTAAAATATAATGTAAATATATATATAAAAATAAATTATATTAAATTAATGTTCGCGAACATCATCCAACATTCGCGAACAAGCTTATGTTCTTTCGATTATTAAACGAGCCTAATTTTCTGTTCGAATCAACTCAGTTAACAAAAGCTTTTGTCGAAATAAATGAGCTCCAAGGAGATTTTTTCGCAAACGTTCATTTGTTAACAACACTATTTGAAATTAGAAAAATTTAAGAGCTACGATACGAATTAGTCTGTTTACAATTGTATTTCGGTTCGAGTATAAAAGTTCGACTCGTTGTTTGTTTAGATAAGCTAAACTTCAACAAACTAATCGGGCTCTTTTATATTTGACACTCAATAAACACACAACGTATGCAATTACAGAGAGAAACTCTCCACAACAAATGAATATCAAATTCGAACCACAATTCTTTCTCTGCTCGCATAGCCCAGGCAAACCCGAATTCTCCACAGGCGGATTATCCATAACCGCTTCTCGCCCTACCTGTTTTACGCAACCCGGATAGTGAGGCTGTACGCCATAAACAACGGCCTAGTCTCTGCACACAATGTGTTCGACAAAACTCCCCAACGAATGTCTTCCATTCGGTCCCTCGAATTTCGTGCCGCATTCCGGCTGTTCGAACGCATGTTGTGCTCCGAAACCCGGCCCAATACCTTCACTTCGCCTGCATGGCCCAATTACACATTGCGGGTCGTGCATGTGAAAGTTGTTATTTCCTTCGGGCTCAGTTTAGATTTTATTTGCAACCGCACGCTCTTGAGCCGTTATTTGGAATCGGGCCTCTTTTGTGAGGCCTGCCGCGTGTTTCGTAGGATTAACGAGCCCGATTTATTTCTATGGAACGCGATGATTTTGAGTCTCCGCCTGTATGGACGTGCTCATGATGCATTTTAGATGGTCCTCTCGAATGAGGCTACTTTGGCGGGGTAAAATTGTCTACTTATTATTGTTATTTCTGGGCTTGGTAAAATTGGGCTTGGATAGAACTCATTGTAAAATGTTAGATCAAAGGAAGAAAGTGTCTAATCTACACTTAAACACAGTAACAACTTAGTCTAACAATCACAAATGCTAGCTAATTATTCAGGAGCACATATATTATGTTGCTTAATTTACCACATTTTTCTTCTTCTTTTGAGTATTTTCTCATCAATCTCTATTGTTATTATTATTATTATTATTATTATTATTATTATTATTATTATTATTATTATTATTATTATTGTTATTATTATTATTATTTGGGGGTGTAACATGTAAGTAGTGTAGTGTGATCTTAGCGTGGAAACTTTAGTGCATAAAAAGCTCACAGTGTTTCAAGTCTTCTCTATGAAAAAAGGACTTTGACAAGAATACAGAAGAATGTGTTGGCTGTGTACTAAATTGAATAAAATTTCCCGAAGGAAACATAAATAAGTAGAAGCAGTAAAAAGAAAATCACATGGTGTCAATGGATCATGAGAAAAAAAAAATGGCAAATAAGTTAAAATAAAAAAATTGATAGAAACAAATATCACAAAATTATTAAATGCAGTGTCATAGTCATCTTTTTTAGTGTGTACCTCTCATTTATTATGAACTTTTGTCCTTTGCATTCATTTCATTCTCCATCCACCAAAATGCTCTTTGCCCTCACCTTTTCAATCTCATTCCATTTTTTTATTTTTTTTTTCTCCAATCTTCTTAAACTGATGATCATCAATCAATAATTTTCAGCAGGTTGCAAATTTACTAGGGTTTTTTATTTATTTTTTTCTTCTTCAAGAATTGTAGCTTTTTTTATATACATATAAAAAGTTAGTATGTATGCATATAAATATAGCAGTTCATTTATTGTTAGCTAAAATCTTATTGCAATTTCTACTTAATTTTTTTGTTTTTATTGGGGAATTTTGATAGTGTGTTGTTATCTGAATCTTTGTGAACAGTGTGTGTACATTTTGTGGCTGCAGTTTGGTTTGTCAACTTTTTAGGCTCTGAGGGAAAGCAAAAAACAGCAGTTTCTTGGAATACATCTGCCACACACAAAGGGGGAAAAAAGAGGTAGTTTTTCCCTTTTATTTTTATTTTTTTTTCCTTTCTTGCTTCATGATGTGATTATCAAAACTAATTATTTTGTTTACCACTCTCTCTCTCTCTCTCTAAAAATAGGTTATGGGAAGTAGTGTAATGAGTAGACAATTTGCATACCTTTATATATGCAAGTGATGGTTTCTTGATTTAGGGTTTCTTTTTCTTTGCCTTGTGTTAAATGGTACACATGAGATAGATATTAAGTTAATCAATAACCAGATCTCAGTTACAAAACAATTTGTGCAAACCTTATCTGAAAAATTCACATGTTTTTTTTTTTCATTTTCCCATATTTGAACAGTTATTCATCCCTATTTTCTGTCCTTGCTTTCCCTGTTGCAGACTTGAATTTGAACATGATAAATAAGGATCAAAACAACATAAAGGTCTCTCGTTACTTATTAATAATTAATAACTATATTGAAGAGACTGTAAGAAAACACAAATTTCCATTAGGTGAGTCAATCCATCATATCCTTATAACAAAAAAACATACTTATGTTAACGAGCTTAATCTTACTGAAAAAATATGTTCATTTAATTGTTAGTTCTACCTAACAACAATCTTACTATTTGAAAATATGCATATTTGTTAGAAAAATAATATGCTCATCTCACTATTAGTCCTACCTAACAACAATTTTACTATTTGAAAGCCTGCATGTTTAACCGTTAGTCCTACTTAACAACAACAATTTTACTATTTGAAAGTATGCGTATTTATTGAAGAAATATGTTTTATCTAACCGTTAGTCCTACCTAACAGCAGTCTTACTCCACATAAAATAAAATAAAAAGGAATGTCATCATCATCATACACTCCGCCTTGCGCCGCGTGCAAGTTCCTCCGTCGTAAGTGTGTCCCGGGATGCATATTTGCGCCTTATTTCCCACCCGAGGAGCCTCACAAGTTCGCCAACGTGCACAAAATATTTGGCGCTAGCAATGTGGCGAAGCTCCTAAACGAGCTCCCGAGCCACCAACGGGACGATGCTGTCGGCTCCCTTGCCTACGAGGCGGAGGCTCGTGTCCGAGACCCCGTTTACGGATGTGTCGGGGCCATCACTTTTCTCCACCGACAAATCGAACGACTCCAACGAGAGCTCGATGCCGCCAATGACCTCATCCGCCTCGCCTGTGCTGCCGCCGCCGACCTCAACCCACCGCCGCCGGCCGCTGGAGGCGGTGGGGTGGGGACTTATCAAGGGACTTTTGGTGATTTGTATAATCACCATAATAACCCTAGTGGAGGTGGGTTTGATGGGAGGTATAACTAGAGAAAGGGAGAGAGATTTATAAAAATAATATTATTTTTAAATAATATTATTTGNTCTCTCTCTATAGGGGAAAGGTGATGATTGATGAACTTATGATCAGCTGTTTGTTGCAGCTAGCAAGAGGCTTTTCAAATTGGTATGATTTTTAATTTTTTTTTTAATTAATTTTTTTTTTGGGGTCATTTTTGTTGATGAGAGCAGGTTTTATGGATTTTTCTAGCTGGCTAGCTAGATCATATATATATATATGGTAGCCTGCCATATGACTGGAGGGCTCTTTGAATAAAATTATTTTGTGGGTTTTTGGTAATAATTTCATTTGGAGCTAAGGTTTAATTAAGCTCTTGGACTATGGTAGATGTAATGGATTGAGAGTGTATGTGTCTATGTGGAGGATGTATTTTGTATTATTTGTTATATTGAGACTTGATCAATGCCTTTTGTGGCTTTGATATATGCAATAATGAATTGTTATATATGTATGTGTGTGATATTATTTGAAAGAGTTGTTTAGAATTGTAGCTCGTTTAGTCTTTAGTTTTTGATCAAGTACCCTTTGATTTGTGAGGGGTTTACAATTGGGTTTTTTTTAAGGGAAATTTCATGTTCTCCCCATTATCTTTTCATAATGAGTACATTGTTGAATAATTACGAGATTTTGATAAGCGAGCAATTTGGTAAAACATGTAGGAATTGAAACCTCATTTTGTTCTGGTTCTTTATTTTATTTTTTGTTTGTTCTTTTTGCCTTTAACAAGGAGAGAAGATGTGAATTTCTAATTGGCAAAAAATTGGTCACCCAATTGACTAAATAAAATGTTAATTTCCTTAGGACATGTCCATGTGCATAGTGTACTATAGTTCTACAGTATAAATCTTATCAAATTTCCAAATTCAGGGACAACTAAATGTAAATAGTGCGAGCAATATGTTTCTTCATTTTTCCCTTCAGATCAATAAATGTGCTGGCTGCTCCCTTTAAAGCAAAACTCATATTTTTTTAGGCAAAAAATATCTAAGTTAAAAAAAATATATAGTAACTTAGACCAAGTCATAAAATTTGTCCAGTAAATTGTTTTGAGTGTAGAAAAACATTCACTTATACTAATAAAAATCGAGCACAATATGGTAAAAAATTGTAGAATTTACCGGAATATATAAAAAAAAAAAAAAAAAAAAATGCTCACTGATGTAATTGGACAAAATGTTTGCTGTGTAAATTAGTGAAGATTTAGTTTTCTAAAGCCTAAGTTAACGAGCATAATTTTGCAAGTTTATTGCCTAAATAACTGATTCCCGTTTAAAGATAGTGAAATTGAAATTTGTTGGGATGGGGAAATAATATTTAGCTTTTCAACCAAATATTAGGGTTAGGGTTTGTCTCAATAAACTTTTCCCAAGTTTGGTGGGACTGATAATTGAAAACTGGGGAATGCCGGCAAATCTTTTTCTCTGTCTGTGTGATTTAGGTAATTTCTTGTTTCTTGGTTGCCAAAATTGCATTTATTAACCACACGACTAAGGTTATGTTTGGTAAAATTATCTGATAAACTAGTTTATAACTTGTTATGTTTGATAAAACTAACTGATAAGCTAGCTTAATTATAGCTTGTAAGTGGTTTCCGAACTTATGAGTTATAGTTCAAAAGCTAACTTACATAATAAAAGTGTTTGGTAAAAATAATTGATAAGCTAATTGAAATAAAAATTTCAACGAGTTTATTTGAAAAGTTACTCAAACAAGCATATGAGATGAGATCGAGATTTTTAAAGAAGCTCGTCCCACCAAACGAAACTTATTTGAATAAATAAAACTTATAAACTAACCAAATAAACTATAAAGTACCTTATTTAGTTACCAAAATAAATGCTTAATGTGTGTGTATATGAAACTTTCTGACTGCAAATATTGCTTTTTTACTTAGCAGAAAAAGTACTGTTCATCAAATTCCTCATCATACATTGTCTGTCACTTCCTTTCTTTTCTGCAGTTACATCTTGTCTGTTGATGAGGAGTCACCTCAGATGATATATATTTATAACAAATTTGATCAGCCCTGCAAATCTTATTCAACTTGAGTGAGCTGCAATTTTTCAATAAATTTTCAATACTATATTTTTTATCACATAAAAAAATTTTGAACTTTTGCAATTTGAGTCGCAATAGTTAGAGATGGCCATGGGCCGGACCGGCCCGTGGTCACGGTACCGACCCGGTCCCGGTCCCGGCCCGTGGTTGCCGGTTCCGAGGACTGTAACTGTGGCTTTACGGGTCGAAAACGGGTCTCGTGTTTTCATTTTTGGTCCCGGCGGTCCGGGACCGGGTCGGGACAGGGCCGGTTCACGGGCCCAACCCTTAGTTTTTGGCGGGCCGGTTAAGGGTCACTCAAGGGAGGCCCGTGGGCCCGGCGGGCTGGGCCGGGCCAGGCTGTGACCCATGGACTGGCCACCCCTAGCAATAGTTAACTTAATTAATTACTTCAGATTTTAGGCTAAATTGAAAATTTGGTCCTATGCGAATTTAGGTCCCTTGAGTGACATATAACAAGTTAAGTCCTGTAGTTTAAACTTTGCTGCAATTTGCAGTCATTTGAGCGTCAAAATTCTCAAATTATATATTTGGGAAGGATTTTGATTACAAATTTAAGTCATGTAATTTAAAACTTTACTGTAATTTCAACCATTTAATTTTAAATTACAAGACTAAAACTGCTATATATCACTCAAATAAGACATAATTGCTACCTTCAAAATCTATTATAACCAAAATTGCAATTTAGCCCAGTTTTTAACTATGTCTGATAATTTTGTATTTTGTGTCGTTTTGACATTCCTGATCTCATTTTTAAATATTTTTATTTTCTTGAAATGACCTTTATAACCTTACAATATATCCATAGAGTTGATGTAGAGCATGTAAACAGCAAGTTTTGGGAGTGTTAGAGAATAGTTCGGGGGTATCTGTAGGCATAAATGGAGACCGATGTAAGCAGTTATGTTTGAGATTGCAATCGCTATTATAATATAATTCTGAAAATTTATTTAAAACCCTGTAAATCATTTTATAATTTTCACTATTTTTTTAATTATTGTTTATTTCGTTAAAGTCTTGATGCCTTTATATATATACGCCTCTGATACGTAGTTTTGAAAATAATGAATAAAATACTATCAATTTTCATTAGTAGTGCAATTATCATCAAACGCTTTTATTAATTGTTCAAGATTGAGAATGGGCAATAAGAGTATAATTGTGACCTTATAGTAAACAAGACAACTTAGGACAATTTCAATGTGACGGACAATTCACAATTTAATGTGCTCATGGGCATGATGTTATTTTTGGGCCAAAATTTAAATATGAAAAATAAAGGTTTGATATAGAAAAATCTCGATTCTACCTTCAATTTGGATTACACAATTATCCAAAACCGAGAAAATTAGAAAATTTTATATTGATTACACATGATCTCTACTAAAGGTGTCCTAATTCAAATAGTCTTTCTTATCATTAACAAACAATAAATAAATAAAAGTAAAATTGAGAATCAGCTTTGGATCCATGTCTTGTGCTCTATACATAAATACATTAGTACCATCTCTCATTTTTTTGTGTTTACTGTTGCAACGGCTAAAGCTGCTCTTAATACACTGCACATTTTCATGCACCCTACTATTCATTGCCAATGATCAATTGCAGGTTTGTCTATCTTTTCCCACCATAATTTTCATCACATATATATGATAAAAATAAATAAACTAAAAATATTTATGTTATAAACTAACACTGGAGTTATTTTTCTCATAATTTGATTTGTAGACCCCTGAAATTATTTTCATTGCTACTTGAGTCAAATGAAGTTATTTCGGCTCGCTCGTTTAGTTAGACGTGTTGAGCTTGAACTGCTAATTAAGTTTAAATTATGTATAAACTAAAGATGCATTGTGTATGAACTAAATATGCAATATACACTACAAGAAAATAATAAAATTTCAATGGAAATATATTGAATAAAATACCAACGGCAATTGCAATTGATATTTTTCAATGTTATTATTTCCGTTTGAATTTTTCAATAGAGTCCAACGGAAATTCCAACAAAAATATTCCGTTAGAATGAATTTTTCATTGGAATTTCCGTTGAATTTTGACAACTTCAATGGTAGATTTTCCAACGGAGGTGAAAATAAAAATACCAGCAGAAATTGCATATTCAAACGGAAATTCCTACGGTAAAAAGTCGTTGAAAATATAGTCGTTGGAATCATGAGATTCTATCTAAAATTCCAATGAAAAACACATTCCAACGGAATATTTTCGTTAGAATTTACGTTGGAATCATTCCAACGGGAGGCGGAAGTTATACAATTGGAATATATGTTAGAATTTCCATTAGAATATATGACCATAAGATTTTCCGTTGGAATATAACAATTATTTTTGTAGTGGTATAAGAACTAAATATGCATTTAATCATAATATGCAATTAATATCAACTAAGTGCAATATTTATAAATTAAATATACATTTTGTATGAATTAAATATGCACTATATATGACTAAATGTGCAATCTTGAAACTAATAGTGTCCTTGACAAAAATATAAGTATCTAAATGTGCAGTATAGTGTCCGATGCGTGTCAAAGGTATGCACTATATATGCCAATTTCATTCAAATATACATTATGTATTACATTAATTATATAGTAAATAATAATTATTATTATATTAAAAGTAAAATTAATTATATAATAAAATAAGTCAATTGACCGATTTGACCGTCAGTCGTTGAACACGCCCGTTCACCGGCCGGCAGTCAACCCGGATCAATTGGTTTTTGTATTATATATAATTTTAAATGTAGTATTTATTATTTTTATTATATAAATAATAAAAGTCTCAATTAATTAATATGACTCATCGTTTCTATACAAATCAGTTGTTATTTATGAACTTATGATATGAACTTTTATGATCACTGTATATACATGTGTGTGTC